TTTTTTTTAATAAAGCTTTGTGGGGAGAAATGTCACTTATCATTGCAGTTTAGTTTCAGTAAAGTTAGCAAGAAAATAGCTTTTTACTTCAAAATAGCAAGAAAATCCAATTTTCCCTGATAAGACCCCTTAAAATTCATATAATAGGTAAAAGCTTCACCTTTTTCATAATCACACATGAATAAACACAGACACACACACTGACACTCTATTACAGACCAACTCTCCTACAAGCACAAGCACAGATACACTGTGGATGAGGAGATACACACTGACTCTCAGCTTTTGTCAAGGGTTTGGGATTGAAATCTAATCAGAGCTTGTCAGACAGGAAGTGCTGTGAGTTTCTAGAGATGTGTGACACACACAAAGAGACAGAGTGAGACAGAGGAGGGGAAAGAGCATTTGAGGTTCTCAGGGAAAGTGTGTATTTGCACTGGTTTGGGTGGTTTATGAGGACACAAATTTGTATAATGTCGTGGGTAGACAAGAGTGTTTTAAGTCACAAATGTCTTGAAATACATCTGAACAATATGTAAGGTGTGGTAACCGTAATATTAGCGGAATAATTGATGACAGGCTGTTGAATTATTAGAAAATAATGCACACCTGAGGTGTAATTTTGTAATAATTCAACAGCCCGTTGCCAGTCATTCCTTTATATTATATTATATTATATTATATTATATTATATTATATTATATTATATTATATATATATATTTTTTTTTTAATAAAGCTTTGTGGGGAGAAATGTCACTTATCATTGCAGTTTAGTTTCAGTAAAGTTAGCAAGAAAAGAGCTTTTTACTTCAAAATAGCAAGAAAATCCAATTTTCCCTGATAAGACCCCTTAAAATTCATATAATAGGTAAAAGCTTCACCTTTTTCATAATCACACATGAATAAACACAGACACACACACTGACACTCTATTACAGACCAACTCTCCTACAAGCACAAGCACAGATACACTGTGGATGAGGAGATACACACTGACTCTCAGCTTTTGTCAAGGGTTTGGGATTGAAATCTAATCAGAGCTTGTCAGACAGGAAGTGCTGTGAGTTTCTAGAGATGTGTGACACACACAAAGAGACAGAAAGAGACAGAGGAGGGGAAAGAGCATTTGAGGTTCTCAGGAAAAGTGTGTATTTGCACTGGTTTGGGTGGTTTATGAGGACACAAATTTGTATAATGTCGTGGGTATTACAGGTATTACAATGTGAAGGTGGTTTATGAGGACACTTCATGTGTCCCTGTAATTCAAAAGGCTTAAAAAACATACTAAATGCTGTTTTTTTTTTGTTTGTTTTTTTTTGAAAATCAGAAAAAATGCAGAGTTTTCTGTGAGGGATAGGTTTAGGTGTATGGTTGGGGTAGGGCGACAGAAAATATCGTTTGTACAGTATAATAACCATTACGCCTATGGAGAGTCCCCGTAAACCACACATGCAAGAATGTGTGTGTGTGTGTGTGTGTGTGTGTGTATGTGTCATTTGAGGACAATTTTTAATTTTAAAATTAATAACTTTTAGGATTAAGATTAATCCATAATAATTATAATTAGCTTTATATGAAACAATAGAAGTCCGTGGTGGTGTGTTCATTTAGATAAATGTGTGTTTGTGTTTCTTTTTTGCTCCATTCCAAAACATAAAGTTAAATTGTTGAGTGACAAAAAAAAAAGGTTTGGGTTTAAAAGCCTGACCTAGTTAATTCAAGAAATCAGCAGCCTAATAAAGAGGTTGACTAGCACAACATATTTTATGTATTTTGAAAATACAAAAATGCTAAACTTAAATGTATTTTAAGTGCACGTATCTGAAACACTCCTCATCCTTGCATGTTAGCATCAAATTGAAATAAGTTGTGTGATTCACATGAAGAGCACTGTTTATGTGATGTTACCTATGTAGAGTGTTCTAATTCAGTCACTTATGAGGGTCCATTTCAGTTAGGATGCTCCCTTATAAGGGAGCTGCCTATGCAGAGTGTGATTACATCTTATTAAAGTGTTTAAACTCTGACTGTCTGAGAGAGAGAGAGAGAGAGAGAGGTGATGAAAGCCAAGCAGACAGATGAATGCCTGACTGATGATGATGATGATGAAGATGAAGGTATTGTGTGCAAGACACTTGAACTCGAGGGCAATCAAAACCTTCACGCCATCTGTGCTGAGAAAATCACTGAATACAAATGATTGATTTTGGACAAAGTTTCTGATGATCATTCTGAGAAAAATAGTTTCATAAACCTCCAGTAAGAGCTAATTCATCTGAGAGAAACTTCTCTGTTATTGTTGAATGTGTTTATATATGTGACCGAATCTTTAAAAGAATCAATATATATCACAGTAGGATTATTCCATACAGATTTGTGTGAGTCTCTAGCTTATAATCAGAAAATCAGCACTATGAAATTCACCTCACATTCACATCGTCTTCATGAATTTTGATGAGTCACACTTTAAAGGAATAATTCACGCTCATGTTGCACTAAATCTGAGTGACTTTCCCCTCCATCATTGTTTGTTTTTTTGTGTTTTATTTTAGTGTCACAAACTTAAAGATAAAAACTTTGTATTATTCATTAAAGTGCCCCTATTATGCCATTTAAATGTTCCCTAATATTGTTTTAAGAGTCTCCTACAATAGGTTTACATGCATGTAAGGTCAAAACATGCTTTAGTTTTCTCAAAATATGCATTTAATATCACCTCATTTTCCAACGATTCTCAAATAATTCATTTGAAGCAGTTCTAAGATTCAGTCTCTCTAAACCCCTACTTTCCATGAGCCTACTCTGCTCTGATTGGTCAGATGGCCCAGTCTGTTGTGATTGGTCTACCGCGTATAGCGCGTGTCGGAAACAATATGCCCATTGCCATAGTTCTGTATTTTGAACGCTCTATAGAAAATATAAACATACTTACAGATTGTGATTCAGTGGAGCCAGCTGGTCCAAATAAACTTGAGCCATCTTTCAAGAGCAAGCGTTGTGTGAATCCCACGTTGAAGACTAGAGAAGCAGTCGTCAGTAAAATGACGGGAACACAAAAAAAGATTGGGGTTGTACTGCTGTGGAACAGTGGAAAAAAAATAATTTTAACCACTGATTCTTTGCAGTCTCATCATTCGGAAGTGAAAATAAAACAAATTAACTTTCACAGTGGCATGATGTTAACCACACAAACAAGCTACAGTGTTTGTGGGCGGGGTCAAGTTGTTCGTGGCCGGCCAACGTAGAACATAGGTAGTAATTATAGAAATGTGTTACCCAGTGACATATAGCCGAGTTGATTCTTTCTTTTGGGAGACAATAACTTTATTTATCAGGCACTTTTGTCTTTACAGCTTTATAGATTGTTTACACACTGCATGAAAGGCAATATTCGAAATGGCATAATAGGGGCACTTTAAGTTACCATCTTCGTACCCTTTGATTTACATTAAGGGCTTCATTCATTCCTATTTAAAGTTATATTATCTTAGATTTGTATGTACTATTATATAATATCTCATATTCATCTTTCTCCCTTTCAGTTGGGTCAGATATTACGGAGTCCCTTTATGAAGTTTGTCGCTCACGCCGTGTCATTCACCATCTTTCTGGGTCTGCTGGTTCTGAACGCGTCGGATCGATTCGAGGGTGTGAAGAATCTCCCCAATGAGACCATAACAGACCATCCACGGCAGGTGTTCCGCGTCAAGACCACACAGTTCTCCTGGACCGAGCTCCTCATCATGAAATGGGTTCTGGGTAAGGCCCGGGTCAGGGTTTGTGTGTGTGTGTGTGTGTGTGTGTTATTCTAGTTGTGGTCGGTCTGCACAGGTAATGGAAGGTAAAATTATGCTGATTATAGATGCGTTTCAGTGATGTCTTTCACCACATCTGTATGTGTGTGTGTGTAGAAACAAAAAAACATGTTTTATTCCATTTTGAAAGAACGTCATTGTCAAGTGATTTGATTTTATAGTAATTTAATTAAATAGTAATAGTTTTACTAATATTTTACATATTTAGGGTCAGGGATTTGAACAGCCACTGGTACTGCAGATATGAATGATTTCTCAATTCATTCAGTTTACTGAGAGATGTGCTATTACTTTATCATTTTTAAAACCTATACTTTTTATTATACATTTTTTTATCATTTTATCAGTGTCCATTAGAAGAACTCACAATCTTTGAACAAAAGCAGCCGTAAAATGATGTTTCTTTCATTATGGGCACTTTTGTCCTGTGGAGATAACAAATACAATTAAAACACACTGTTCAAAATCTCACTAGTTTATTTCATTGTTTCATTGACCTACTAAGAGTTTCCACCAGTATATATATGGTAGATTTTTACAATCTGCATCTAAGACAAGAGTCAAATGATAAACTGCGTTCTACAAGACATTTCAACTTCCAACTTATTATATACTGTAGAATAAATTGGGACTTCAAATATATTTGTTTGTTTGTTTATTTATAGAGTTTTTTTAAGTAATATTTTTAATAATATTTAATATTATTAAATAATATTATATGGTGGATTTTTATATATTTTTATTTATCTGCGTCTAAGACAAGGGTCAAATTATTTTTTATTATAGTTTGTTTGTTCATTCATTCATTCATTCATTCATTGTTTCTGAAGTCTGAAAAAGGTCTTAAGAAGTCTTAACTCACATTTCCACATATTGAGACCTTAAAAGGTCTTAAATCAGAGCAGAAAGTCTTAAATTCATGAAGTCGTGACATTAAATGTTGTATGCGTTTCTAAAAAATTATATCTTCCTCAGTATTTTTGTCTTGTTTTACAATACAGATATCTTTGTCTAAGTCTTGTTTTCTTAGAAATTTAACAAAATTAAATGAGTTTATGCTTAAAACAAGAACAAATACCTGACAATTGGGTGAAAAAAAAAAACTTGTTTTCCCTTTGAATTAAATTGATTTTTCTGAGCCCCCTGGCAGATATTTGTTCTCATTTTAATCAAAAACTCAGTTCATTTTGATCAAGTTTTCATTAAACAATACTTCTGATCTTATGTCGTTTTGCTTCTCAAGTAACTGGATCTTGGTTTAAGAATCTTAGACAATTGTTCTGGAAAACATGACTGAAATACTGGGGAAGAACAGTAGTTTTTGCAGTGTGATCAGAAGCTACAGTAAAAATTATTATCATAGTCTGGATTTGAAATTGTTCTCTGTGTTTGTGTTTGTGTGTGTGTGTGTGTGTGTGTGTGTGTGTGTGTGTATGTGTGTGTGTTTCAGGCATGATCTGGTCAGAGTGTAAGGAGATCTGGACTGATGGGCCGCGTGAGTACGTGATGCACCTGTGGAACGTTCTGGATTTTGGGATGCTGTCGATCTTCGTGGCCTCCTTCACCGCTCGTTTCATGGCGTTCCTCAAGGCATCTAAAGCTCAGGTCTACGTCGACCTGCACGTCCCTAACCATGACATCAGCAATGCATCACTTCCCGCTGACATTGCCTACTTCACATATGGTGTGTAAATGCATGCAGAACTTCACATGTCTGTCTGAACTCTTGGCCACACCAACATTTAGGTGACTGGAAAAATATGAGAAAAATATAGTTGGGAAGATGGGAAAATCTGACGAATCATGTCAAGAACATGTCAAGGTCACATTTCACCTGAAAATCAAATATAAGAATATTATGTTCATTAAAGGTCTTTATATGTTTTTGCAGTGACATTATTTGCATGACGAAAACCACATTTGAATCAGGGTTATTATAGTTAACTAAAGCTATAACTGAAACTCAAATGAAAACCATTAAAACATTTTTGTTACTTGAAATAAAATAAACGTTAACTGAAATAAAATAAAATAGAAAAAATAAAAAAAAACGTTTTATTTCAGCTAGTTGTCAAGGCAGCCTTTATCATTTTAATTTAGTTGAACTTGATGTACTAAAATAACTAAAACTAAACTAAAGATGTTACAGTAAATATATATAGACATATAAAAAACTGCTAAAAATGACAAAACCACACAACAAAATTACTAAAACTTTAACTAAAATTAAAAGGAAAATAGAAAATATTAAAACTGAAACTCATTCACAATATTAATAAAAACTGTAATAGTTTCACAATGATACTAAAATAACAATGATTTGAACAACAAATTATCATTACTTTTTTGTATGTATTCTGTGAATACTGAAATACTATTAAATTATTTTAATTTAATAAACTTTTTATTAATTTATTTTATATAAATATTACTAAAATGTATTCATTTAAACTGTACAGATTTTAATGAATAAATGTATAATGTAAACATGATAGATAGATAGATAGATAGATAGATAGATAGATAGATGATAGATAGATAGAACCTTTTCGTTAATGACAGTGGCAGATAATACCAATTTAGCATAGTTGTATTGCTATAAAACAAGTGATTATGGTATTTTAGCTGAAATTTTGTTTACCATAGTAAACTTTATGTGAGTTATCTGTCTGTAGAAAGTTTTCATATTGTGAGCTCAGGTATTTTCGGTAGAATTGTTAATGAGAGGCCGTGATGCAGATCTGTAGGTGTGTTAGCATCATTATCTCAGCTGCAATCTGACCGGTCTGACCTTACGCTTCTGTCTCCAACACTTTCTGACTAGAATCCTGCAGTAAATCAGCCACTGCTGTGTTTTAGCTGTATATTAGCTCTGGACACTAATAGATTAGCTGTAACTCTTATGTACGGCCTTAACTTTTGTGTACTGCTATTATTCTAGTATTAAATTACTAACATACATAGCCATAAAAAAAATTTTAAAAAAAAAGTATATGAAACCGAGTGTGTAGCAAGTCAAGAGTGAGATTTCCGTTTATTTGTTTGACTGGATGGAAAATCAAACATTGTTATTGTTAGCCAAATCTAAAACTATAATTGAAAAAAGCTGAAATAATATAAAATATAAATATTAGATTGAAAACTTATATTTTGTTTAAGTATCGAGACTTTAATTCATATTTTGAATTCATTTGTGTGTGTGTGTTTAATTAAACATTTCAGAAATGTTGTTGTTTTTGTCACTTTCATGATTTTTTAAAAATATACCCGTATAGTTTTTTTTTAATTTTTTATATCACTTTAATCATTTAAATTGTGCAGATTTTAATTAAATAAAAGTGTATTGCAGGTTTGACTGTCATATGTCATATGCTGAATAACTATTATCACTTAACGTTTTTGTTAATTGAAAAAAAAAACTGAAATAAAATATAAATATTAGATGAAAACTTAAACTTTTATTTTGTTTTAGTATTGAGATATTGTATTGTTATTAATATTTCGATTTTTTTTCCTTTTAATTTTAATTAAAGTTTAAGAAATTAATTATTATTATTTTAGTTATTTTAGTACGTCAAGTCAAAATAAATGAAAATAAGCAATGCTGTCTTGGCAATGAAGTAAAATAAAATCAGCTAAAATTTGACAACAATTAAAATAAATATAAAGCTAAACCGGAATATTAAAAAAAATGAAAATACACAAAACAAAACAAAAATAAATACTGAAATTTAAACAAATTAAAAAGGAAATACAAAAATTTAAACACAATAAAAAGAATACTGAAAATATATAAATAAAAGCTAATTCAAAATGTTAATACATACAAAATAATATATAAATAATACTAAAACAACACTTGTTGGTAGGTTGTTTGAGAATGGCATGCATACATAATACATACCTCTGAGATAGTATGACTAGTATGATAGAGCTGATATGTGTTATCAATGCTGCTATCTGCTGGTGTGAAAGTGATACCGCAGCTTTTGAAATCACAATCATATACTGTATGTATACATACATAAAGAGTATGTGCACTGGTGAAATCTTTGAATCAGCTTTACCGTTGAATGTGTGTTTGATCTTCATTGTGTTCATTCAGAATCCCTGAACAAGGTCTTCATTAGCATTCTCCACCTTTGACTTCCTCCCTCTGATTCTCTTTGAATTCAAACCATCAAACCCTGAACACGCGTGACATTACTTTGCCATTCCTTTTAATCTGAATCAGCTTCCAGTTACATAATGTGCCATGGTATTGGTGCTGTATTTTCAGTAAAGCTCTGTGTGTGTCTCTCTGTTCCAGCGAGGAACAGGTGGAGGCCGTCCGATCCTCAGATCATCTCGGAGGGTCTGTACGCCATCGCTGTTGTCCTGAGCTTCTCTCGCATCGCCTACATCCTGCCGGCCAATGAGAGCTTCGGTCCGCTGCAGATCTCTCTGGGACGAACGGTGAAGGACATCTTCAAGTTCATGGTCATCTTCATCATGGTTTTCGTGGCCTTTATGATCGGCATGTTCAACCTGTACTCATATTACCTGGGGGCCAAATATAACCCCGCCTTCACCACGTGAGTGACACACAGCCATGGCAGTACTCTGGCAACCACACGCACAACACACTAACACGCACATTTTATGAAGAAAATAAAAAAATTGAGAATTTTTTCTGCAAAAAAAAATTACGCTAGTGGTGCAGAAATTACACTATTTATTATATTTATGATTATCATCGATGAAATGTTTAATGCTTTTTTTTAGATTAAATAGTAGATTACTTATTATTAGATTTGTAATTGTAATTAAATTACACAGATTTTACATTGCACATGCAACACAGTAAAAAATTATGCATAAATAAAACATCTAATATTTATTTACATTAAACATTTCTTGCTCAAATTTTTTAAATATTACTGTGACCTGCAATTGGACAACAATATTTCAAATAATTAATGTGGCATGGGCTGAGTAGAAAATTGTTTATTGTGCATAAATTTAAAATATCAGGTGTTTATTTACACTAAAAATGTATTACTGAAATTATTTTATATTACTGTGACCTGCAGTTTGCCAACAATATGTAAAATTATTAATGTGACATGGGATGAATAAAAAAATCTTTACTGTGTATAAAAAAAAATCAAATGTTTATTTAATTTAATATTGCTGTGACCTGCAGCTGGCCAGAAATATGTAAAATTATAAACTTGATATGGACTGAATAGAAAAATTATTTATAATGCATAAAAAAATATATACATCAAATATTTATTTACATTAAATGTTTCTCACTGAAATTAATTAGTACTGCTGTGACCAGCAATTGGCCAAAAATATATAAAATTATTAATGTGATATGGACTGAATAAAAAAATTATTTATCATGCATAAATAAATAAAAAAGATTAAATATTTATTTACATTAAATGTTTCTCACTGAAAATTATTTAATATTACCGTGACCTGCAATTTGCCATTAATATATAAAATTAATAATGTGGTAAGAGCTGAATTGCTTATCGTGCATTAATAAATAAATACATTTTAAAAAATCAAATATGTATTAACTTTAAAAAAATTTTGCTTACATGATTTAATATTACTGTGACTTTTAGCCAATCTGTAAAATTATTAATTTATTATTAAGAATGAATAGTTTTTCTGAATAGAAAAAAATATCACACAATTTTTAAATAAATATAAATTATTTATAGTCTTTAATTTGAGTGTTTGCTTTCTAAATGTCTAAATGTATTTTGAATCATGAATATAAATAATATAATATAAAGTTGGTGTCATTCTCAAGTAAATGCATCAATTTAAGAAAGTTTAGCTGTACTGGAAAAAAATACTTTTTTTTTTTTTTTTTTGCAGTTTATTAGTCCCCTTATGATGCTGTTTTCATTGAGATTAGTCATAAAATGTGGGTTGACATGTACATAAACATACACTGGTGATCAAATGCCTGCTGCTGAAACCTCAGAGTTTGACTCTAAAAGGTAAACACATCAGCTTCTGTGTAAATTGTCAAATTTTCACCTAAAATCCGTTCTTCGGTTTTATTCAAACTCTCGGTCTCTCTGGCTGTCATCTTGTATTAGCGTGAGTGCTGTTTTCAGCAGTAAGCGCTGATTTGTATTCAGCGCACAGATATGTCAGGCTTATGAGATAATGGCTCAGCTGTAATCTTTTCCAAATCGCTCTGCAAATGGGTTTTTTAAGTTCTGGTCAGTTGGTTTTGAAGTGGATCCCTGCGGTCTGGCTTCATTTAAAAGCAAACAGAATAAGGCGCACCGCCGGTCCTCACGGGGGCCGTTCAGCTGCACCGCTGCTTTCATTGACTTTCATTTAAACGCCTCATAAAACGCTACAAACGCTCCTCATTAGAGACAAGAAAACCCTAAGAAGATCCTAAACCTCAGTTAGAGAATTTGTCACAAATGTTTCTCCTAAAAAATCCTCTGGAGAAATAAACAGAAATGAGTCAGCTTTTGTCATACAATACAGAAAAAAAAGGATTTTCTTACTCAATCTTGTTATCCAGTACACATTTCTAAACATTTTTAAATCAAGATACATTTACTTGAGAAGCAAAATGACTTAAGTAAATAAATGTTATTTTCTAGAAAAAGGATGAAAATTAAGAGATTATGCTTGAAACAAGAAAACATAAATGCCAATGGAGTCAGAAAAATAATTTTCAATAGGTTTCACTTTGAATTAAGTTTTTTTTTCTGACCCACTGGCAGATATTTGTTCTTGTTTAAGGCATAAACTTACGAAATTTGTATACATTTTTTGAATTTACAAGGCTTACTTTCTTATAGTGTGTAATTTTCTATATCATGTAAATGTACCTTGATTTCCCTTTTTTAGGAACGTTTAAATATTTTTACTGGAAAAACAAAACAAAAATACTAAGTAAGAAAATCACGTTCCCTATCTGTCGGTCACTATGAGTCACTATGTCGTGACAACATTAGGGGTTTACTCGGGAGCTCCAATCATCTTTAAGATATTATACCTGTTTAAGTTTAAGAGAAAACGCCAAAGAAAATTGGCTAGTGGATTTTGCATGCTGAGCCACTCCCTGTGCATACGGGTATATAAGGCGACAGCATCCACTCATGGGCATAGAATACGCGGAGGATGCGTGGGACATGTCCCCCCACTTTCAGATAAAGATGATTCTGTCCTCCGCACTTTTTGACACACCGCCACCACCATTCCCGCCCATGTTCTCTGGTTTGTTACATAGATTTGAGTGAACTAACATTCAGCCAATCACAAGTGAGTGTTATGAGGCGAATCATCTTTCGTGGACACGTATATGCTTCAAGCTAGCTACGCCTATGGGTTCATGCCCGCACTGCGAGTGCATGACCATGGCAACGGTGCGATCGCGTCTCTCCGTTCTTAAAGGGAAAGGAGCAGACTCATCCCAGTTTCTCTGCCACGAGCAGAGGACCGCCAGCTAGTGCTCTGGGTGATCTGAGGGTTACAGTGGGAGCCTCTTCGCCGGGCCAGTGCCCTC